TTGATAAAAAGAACGTCAAAAACGGATGTCGTATACAAAAGTTACGGAATTTAGAAGTTTATTAATTTATAAGAGGATGTGAGGGTGACACGTGACCAAATTCGGACCCTTCCTAGCTCCCCACGGCTTCGCTTCGGATGTTGAAACATGCCCCCTCGTATGCACAGCATAACAATTCAGACACCCCGCATACTGAGTACGCTCAGCGTACTCTGAAGGTACGCCCCGCGCACTCGCATTCGGCAGGCTATAAATAGATGTGAGGTTCTTCATTTCTCTTCACACCTTTCCATTCTTCTCTCTCAATTACTTCTCCTAACCCCTCTCACTCCCTATCACTTCCTATGTGTTATAGGCGAGTCCCGAAATGCTAGAAGGCTTCGAGAAAAAGAGTTTTCGGCTCGGAAGTTCTGTCCGCGTAGAGCCCGGTTCTTCGCTAAACTCCATTGTAAGTGAGTTATGCTTACCCTACTTTAAATATAACTTATGTTTAAGTTCATTATCATTATTATGAACCTATAAGCAATATATGAGCTAAGTATTATAAAATACAATGTGTTATTATAATACTTTTTAACAGCTCACAGTACGTGGAATCTGGTTTAAAGGGCCGCATAGGGTTGTTGGATTTCAGAACAGCTTAAATGTCAAAATGGTCCTACCCTCCGGTGTTTCATGTCTGGCCTCTGTCTATACATAGTAGTTGAAAAGTATTGTTTAACACTTATAAAACAATATCGCTCGTAGACCTTGATTTAATTAGTCGCAATAAATATTAGACTAAAACTTAGCAATAATAATGTTAGGTTTCGTCGAAGGAAAAGACGATTGTTAGAAGCGAAATGTTGTCCAAATTTCGAGTCATCACTTTAACAAGTGAACGCATAGTTACGTTCAACTTACACATAGATATGAAGTATTTAATATAAATTGCGTGCTATGTGTGCATATTATCTGTGTTCTTGATATCTATGTTGGATAAACAAAATATACACGTTTTACTTGATTTAAACTGTATACGTATTTTATACCTATAATTATGATAGGTAAAGATGGGTAGATGAAAGATGAGATGAATGATGAGAGATGAAAGATGATATAGATGATGAGAAGCCTTGACCCAAGCGATGGCCCAGTCATCTAGCAGAGTATAGATGACAACCACATACTATTCTAGACGGTCCAGTAGAACGCTAGCAGCCTCACAACCTGTAAGTATTGTGAACAATATGTTCACCAGATGCAATGGCGGATGCTCTTGAGGGCCAGAGGGGGCCATGGCCCCCGTGGTTTTTCGACATGTCATTAGTGTATATACCCTTAACCAGCTTCAAAAAACCATATAACTTATCTTATGGCCCCTCCTAGATTTTTGCTTTCATGTTCTTAAAAAAGAAAAATATAATAAGAAAACCAGTCTTACATTATTAGGAGATTTGTAAGTTGGGAAACTACATAAATAATTATCCAAAAACACGAAAATCACTGAAGAATTCAAACCGATACCAATAAAATAATAATAATAATAATAACAAATCATCATTCAGATATACAAGCTATTAATATGTGGGATGATAAAAAAAACCCTAAAAAATCTTTGTTGTTGCCAGGAAAAGAGTTGTCAAGCTCATCGGAAAATATCACCGCCGCCGTTCGTCACTTCACCCTCTTATCCTCACCTCAGTCATATATATATATATATATATATATATATATATATATATATATATATATATATATATATATATATGGTCTATCACTGTTGTCACATCCACCGGCAACCTTCAAGCACATTGCTAGATCTCTCCATTGAAGAAAAAACTTGTATGCTCCCTCTACCTCCGTCTCTCTATTTCTTTCTCTTTCTTTCAGAAGCGATAACTCATAAGTGTCTCTCTATTTCTTTCTCTACGAAGATGAATAGTTGTTTTGAAACCATAAAATCCGAAAACGTAGGCTAACAACTTTTTGTTATATGTTATTATTTATCCTATTCATTTTTATAATCTAAAAAGATGTTAGTGCTTCTTTTTTCGTTTATTTTTAAATCGAGGACATCCCACACAATTTAATTAGAATTTTAGATTTTGTTTGATAAAAATGTGTTTATTAATGTATTACTTAATTATAATATTGGTTAAAAGTTCAATTGTTCGTCTAGTTAGTATGATCAATTGCTTAAAAGCAATGTCACTGTGTTAATAAACATTTATTGATTGCAAAATGTATATGAAATTGTTATTTTATCATATTGTTTTAAGTGTTAGCTACCTATGGTGTATAGTGTATGTTAACATGGAAAATCAATCTAAGTTTTAAAAGAAAACTTATATATATGATTTTTTATGTTATGGTTTCGGCCCCTTTAGTTTTGATGTTTGTGTTCTGTCCCTCACCAGATGTACTCTAAAAACCCCGGCAGTTATGGACTTAGTACCTTAGAAATAAACGTTGATAGCTATGGATTCAGTGCTCTATAGATGAACATTAACAGTTATGGATTTAGTGTCTAACAAATAACATCGGCAACTATGAACTTAGTATCTGTTATATAAACCCTGGTAGTGATGAAATTCATGCCTATTCCTTAGGACAATCCTTAGGATTAAATATTGAGGAATAGATGATTATTAGGGAATATACTTAAGAATAAATAAGATAATAAGGATGGGTAATTGGGTTAATTGTTTGATGATGAAACATAATAACTTTATTATTGTGAGTTGAAATCACTATGTACTCACCAGGTTTCCCAACCTGACCCACTCAGTTTATTTGTATCATAGGTATTTATACGAAGACACATTACATGGAGTGATTAAAGAAGATGTAAATCATTAGTGTAAATGAATGTAAGGTATGTTTATGCTTTTGTTTATGTATTGATAATGGCATCCCAAACTTTTAATATAAACTAAATACATTTCTTCGGAAATGTTTTGATAATATATTTATCATGTTTTCTGGGAACAAATTTCGCAATATTATTCTTTAAAATGAATCTCTGATTTTTAAATAAACATAAACAAAAAATTTTGAAATGACCGTGAATGTGGAGATGTCAGAATATCCAAAAATCGTACTGTACCACTACTTCCAAAATTATTATCGGTTGCTTTTGATCACCTCACATAAACCATCTGAGTGAGATAACTTCTACTTTTTTTTCTCCAGTGACATAACTTCTGTTTTTCGTCCCATCTATTTTTCTCCGATGAGATAACTTCTACTTTATGTATATTGGTCACGTGGTGGGATTTAGATCTTTCTGTTTTGTGGCAAGTTGGATGGCATTTGTGAAGGTTACAATTGATGTCAGACTTTGCTTGGATGCAGTGGGACCCACGATTATGTTATCCGTTTAGAGTCGTAGGAATTAATTTGTTTTTCAAGTCTTAAGATGCATCTGAAGGTGGTTTTGTGAGATTTTGTTGTTTCGCAATCGTTTTTTGAATTGCTACTAGTAAGTCTACGTTATGTATTAATTGGATTGATTGACAAAATGACCTATGGCCTAGCGATATCAAGGAGTTGAAAAGGTTTTTCTTCCCTTTAAAGGGTTGAAAGTTCAAGTGTTATAAATATTTGAGTATTTTAGGTGTAAGATTTAGTTAGTATGTGTGCTAACCGTTCAAAAGAAAAAATTGATAGATTGATTGCAAAATCCTAATAGGACTATTTCTTCCCATTAATTTCCTAGCTCTTTGCTAATTTTCTATAAAATTAAAAAGTTTATTATTATTACTAGTAGTGGTGATTTTTAGGTATACGACAGAAAATATGAAGGCTTGTCTACTAAAAAAAATAACGACTTTTCAAGCAAAAAGCTAAAATTATAAGTTCTTTTCTATAATTTACCTTATATGCTTGTTTTATTGAAATTCATTTATCTAATGAAAAATCAGTATTCTCGACGTATGATGCTTTCAATCCACACCTAATTTCCTATCAAACTACCAAACATTGCCAAAGCACCTCACATAATCGTACCCTCTATTGCCACGTTTGTATAGCGTCAACAATTGAAGGTTTTTCGCAAGATCAAAAATAATGATTTTTTGGATCAATATTTATCAATCACATATATTTTATTAAATGTTTTTTAGTTTTTTCTTTTATATATTTAACTATATTCATTCAATAATATTTCATTTTGCTTCTTTAATTATATGCAGCTCAAAATAAGTTATATCTAAATCGCTTTATTTTTTAGCCATGTAGCCAAAACAAAAAAGATTATATTGGAAAAAAGAAATAACCCAATCTGAATTCATGAGAGATTTATTGATGAGAATGATCTAGCAATATTGACAACTATGAATAAACTAGTAATATGAAATAGTTTATAACTAGTTTTTTTAATAATTTATATTAATATATTCTATTATGAACTGTGATATCTATCATATAACTTATCATATTTGTTGCTTTACAATTAAAGAATGTTCACATGTAATATGGTTGCAAGCGCACATGTTTTTTTAAAAAAACATCACAAATCCTAATTTTTTAAACACTTAATCATTTAATTACATGATACTCATAACTAGAATGCTCAAGGAATCTTACCTGTAAATTAACATATCCCAATTTCACCAGGATAAAAGAACACACATTTGACCACCCTCATCTGTACTCCATAGTCAACTCAGCGACATCTGGCTGCTGGCTGGCTTAATAAGCTGACCTAATCAATCAATTTCAAGAAAAAAAAAAAGAAAAAGACCAAAAAAAAAAAAGGGAAAAAAGACAGGTAAGGTATAGGCAAACACTAATGCCTTGTAAACAATTTTTTTAACAGACTAATAATAATAATAATAATAATATTCGTTAATAGAAGACACTTGAGTTAAAAGTATTATCATCACTACCTAATGATTGAGGTAGTAATAGGACAAGGACATACATTCATTCATCTCATTAAGAAGTTGATTAAGTCGCTAAAAACATTCCACTTCAGACTCTCCGGAGATGATTCACATTCATTCATTCAGACATTTTCAAAACCTGCAAAACAAAAAAAAAACAAACAACACATTTTATTCTTCAACTCTACACTTCCCAAATAGTTGGTCAACTCAACATTCTGACTTCCTCCTCAGCTGCCACGTCATCATTATAATTATACTCCTCCCCACTTCCACCACCAATCCCATCATCCTTTATCAAAACATCCGACTCCCTATAACGCTCCGGTGTCCCCTCACCCGCCCAATCGCCCCCTCCCCCCTCATGATCCACATTGTTCAATCGGCTATCTTCTGCTGACTTTGACCTTGACTTTGACTTTGACCGTCTTCTGTGTTTTGATCTTTGTTCGTCCGAACGATGGCGCTTGACATCCGGAGATGCTGACCTGGACTGTCGTCTACCGTGATACTTTGACTTTGACTTTGACTTTGACTTATCCCTCGACGTTGACCGTTTTCTGTGCTTTGACTTACCACTCGAACGGTGTTTACCCTCTAAAGATCTTGACCTTCCCCTATCATGACGTTTTGACTTTTCCTCCCGATTGTTTGACCGATGTTTGACTTCTACAGATGCTGACCTGGAACGCCTCCTTTCATGACGTTTTGATCTTTCCTCTTTGACCTCCACGGATGCTGACCTGGACCTTGACCGCCTCCTGTGTTTTGACCTTACCTCCTTATTCTCATTAACCTTATCGTTTGACCGATGTTTGACTTCTAAAGATGCTGACCTGGACCTGGATCGCCTCCTACCCCGCCCTTTTGATCTTTCTTCCTTAATATCATGTTTGACCTCAAAAGATGCTGACCTGGACCTTGACCGCCTTCTATCACGCCCTTTTGACTTTTCTTCCTTACTATCATTAGCCTTATCATTTGACCGACGTTTGACTTCCAAAGACGCTGACCTGGACCGCTTCCTATCACGCCCTTTTGATCTTTCCTCCATTTTATTGTTTGACCGAGGTTTGACTTCCAAAGATGCTGACCTGGACCTTGACCGCCTTTTATCACGTCCTTTTGACCTTTCCTCCTTCCTATCATCCATTTTATCGTTTGACCGATGTTTGACTTCCAAAGATGCTGACCTGGACCTGGACCTTGACCGCCTCTTATCACGCCCTTTTGACCTTTCCACCTTCTCATCTGACCGATGTTTGACTTCCAAAGATGCTGACCTGGACCTTGACCGTCTCCCATCACGCCCTTTTGACTTTTCATCCTTAACATCATCAATCTTATCATTTGGCCGATCTTTGACTTCCAAAGATGCTGACCTGGACCGTGTCCTATCGCGCCCTTTTGACTTTTCCTCCTTAACATCATCAATCTTATCGTTTGACCGATGTTTGACCTCTAAAGATGCTGACCTGGACTTGGACCGCCTCCTATCAACAATCTTCTCATTTGACCGAGGTTTGACCTCCAAAGATGCTGACCTGGACCTGGACCTGGACTTAGACCTAGACCTTGACTGCCTTCTGCGTTTTTCCTTACTTTGCTCATCACGTGAAGACTTCTTGGGGCTTTTGCGAGAGCGTTTTGGGGATTCTGAAGATTTTCTGCCACGTGGGCTTAAACTTCTGCTTCTATTTCTCCAAGAATGGCGGCTGTTGTTGTATTCTCGTCTCCTGTAGCGGTCATTACCACCCCTAAATGTCCGCCTGTCATAATCATAAGTTGAGTAGTGGCGGGACCTTATTGGTGACCTGGATCTGTAACCTCTCATGCGGCGATGTGGAGGTGAAAAGGAGCGGGACCTACGCCTTCTTTGGTATATCACAGGAGACTTTGACTTTGACCTTGACCTTGTGGGAACAGGAGAAGGTGACCTACAATACATATACTCTGATTCATCAGCTATGATCATAATCATGGTAAATAGTTGACTATCATTAAAAGTAAAGGTTGTTTTGGAGAGATTTAACACCAAAATTGAAGTAAAAAAGAGCTTTGGTGTTAAGCATATTTGGTTGTTAATACCTTGGATTTTTAACTGATTCATCTTCATTTCCAATTATCCCTTCAGCTTTCAACTTCATGCTGATTTCAGCAGCTCTAGCAGCAGCCAATTCAGTTGCACTCTTCATAGTTGCTGCTCGATTAGCTGCTTGTTGTGCATTCATAGTTTGTTGCATTAAAAGAGCCTGTTGAAACTGCATTTGTTGCATAGCAACAGCTTGCTGCATCACCATTGGCAATGAAGATGAAGAAGCTGGAGGCTTTGAAGGCAGTGATTTTGCCATTTCAACATTCATTGGGCGCCCTAAAACATCCATGTTATTTAATGCAAGTGCAGCTGTTGCTTCTTCAGGTTTTGAATATTCTATGTATGCAAAATGCTTAGATTCTGTGATACTACAGTCAATTACTGTGCCACAAAAACTAAAAAACTGTTTTAGTTGTTCTGCAGTGAGTAGTGGGCTGAGGTTACTAACTTGGAGTGTTTTCTTTAAAGAATCGGCTTTTGCTGCCTTATCTTCTGCTACTGCCAAAAGAACAACAAAGTTTAGAAAGAATATTGATTTAAGGACTTGTAAGTCATGTAAAGATTATTGTACATTTCGTAAACTGTTGATACTTTGCAAAATAATTGCAGCCTTTTGTCAGTAAAAAGTAATTTTGCAACTTTTTTGGAATTTCACAATTGACCCAATGCAAAATTGGTGGTCTATGTGTAAGAAAGGAGGTCACAATGTGTCAGATGTCACAACATATGGTGGTCATGACTCATGATTATATCAAAAATGAATTTTAAATCAAGGAAATGATAAATAGAATAAAGTAAAGAATTAGTAACTTACATATTAAACAATGATTACATGAGAGTAATAGCTAACAAATCAAAATGGAGAGGGGGGAGAGAAGAGATAGGGACAAAAGAGATGCAGAGGAGATCTTTGTTTTAGATTTGAATAAGCTTCTGGTAATAAAGTTTTAAAAGACAAAGATTCTACTAATTTAAGGACATATAGGATTCAAGTGACGGTTTTGTTAAAAGATGATATGATCAGAAATCTAATAGGGAAACCCTAGTCACAATAGAGACAAAGTACGAATAAGGGAGTCAAGGGAAGGAGATTGAATTCAACAAAGTAAAAGCCAAGAAAGTATGTACCAGTAGTTTCTCTAGAAGCATGAGCTTGTGCACTTGAAGCATGTGCTTGAAGCGCTTGAGCAGCAACAATAGCCTGTGCAGCTGCCATTGCAGCTGCAGATGGTGCCATTGGTGCTTGACTAAGTGTCCCCATGGTGCTTGTAGAAGCCAAAGCAGTCATCAGCAGGTTGTGTGGAGGGTGACCCAACTTGCAATCAGTTTTAATACAACGCCCGCTCAGATACTCTCTGCAAATCTCCCCAAGTGATGCTCCAATTCCAGGCAAAACAACCCCACCTGATGAACTCGGAACAATCCCAGGAATCATTCCAAGAAGTCCTGGAAATGCCCCTGAAACAGAACCTGAGTAATTTGGCATGTTTGGCATGGTCTGGTTAACCATATTTGGGAAATTCATCTGTGGAGCAAATCCCAGAAGCCCTCCTGTAGTTATACCTGCGCTAAAGAAGACTGGAAATGGACTACCCATGATAGACTTCCCATCACACTCAACATCCAGCATGTAGTTTCCTCTTTTAGGAACAACATAGGTAACTGTATAGGTCCCATCACCCATATCTTTGACAATCCCTTCTTGTTCGGACCCTCCAACACCAACTCCTGGAGACACCTTCACCTTCACCTGGGCTCCACCATGGGGAACTTTCCGACCATCTGAATCCTTTGTAACCACCACAAATGAAGAAGGTGCACAAGCAGTTCCACCAGCAACACCAGTCCCAGCGGCCGTGCACTTGGTGGGGTCCACAGGACCTATAGGCTTGTTAGTCAAGTCTTCTTCTTCATCGCCGTCACTATCTGATAAAGGAGCAGGCTCTCGATTCTTCTCAACGTCCTTGAAGGTAGCCTCGAAGGCAGCTTTAGCCGCCGCGTCCTTCTCAGCTTCGCTCTTTATTTTTGCCTCTTCTGCTTGCTTCATCCATATTGGCTTCACAACGGCCAAGTTACGATCAGCCATATATACCCCAAACCACGAATTACGATCCTGCTATCCCCAATCCTGATATAGAATCAACGAATCGATCAATAACAACCGATAACGGGCCAATAAGTTCTAAATTTGATGTTTTCAAGTTAAGTTACTGTCTATTAATCTGAAATCAATTTCACCAATTCAAAACCCTAACCCTAACACAAAGCGAAAATGATGCATACATAAAGTGAAATCAATGATAAATTTTAAGCTACATATAAATGAAATACACACACACGAATAACGTATAGGTTGAGATAGAGGTAGAAACATACGGTGGTTGTGGTGGACGACGGCGGGGATACTCTTTAGAAATAGTGGTTAGAAGATTACTCGTACGGGGTTGAGATCTTTTGGGAAGAGGATGTTGGGGCCGCGTTTGATTCGTTATATTGTAATATTTCAAACTACACCCATGTATTTTCATGTGCTTTGCTTTTCGGTTTTTAACTTTGGGATATTGACAAAAATGGTCACGTTCCTAAAATACATATTGATGGTTTGTTCTATGGGCGTGTTCGGCAAAATAGTTGGTAACAGGTAGCTTGTAGCGGGTAAAGTTTTGTTAAACACTACGTGATTTCACATTTGGATTTGAAATGTTTTGTTTAAACTGAACGCTAGAAGCTTGCAGTGTCAAACAAGACTTTCAATTTAATATGGAGCGTTCTGTCAAATGTTAGAAGCTAGAAACTCTCAAACGCTCCCAAACAATTCGCGTCGAACACACCATATATGATTTATGAATGCTAAAGTGATCAACAAGTTCGAACTAGTTGAGTTTCCAAAATACCAAAGTATTTCGAAATCGATTTCCACCGCACAATAATATTAGCAAATTAAAATAAATTATTATATTTCGAATTTCAAACCTAGTCATGAGTTTCTAGATTGTTCACGATATTTGAATTTATTCATGAGTTTCAAACTTGTTCTTTGTGTTGGGACATGAACGTTTGATAATCAAATGTGCGGAAATTTGACCAACACAATCAGAGGATGAGGTTTGGTGGCAAAAATAGGAATCGATCATAAAGATGAGTACAAAAATTAAACAATAAGTATCTACATTGATCATCACTATAACCCCTATAATTATATCTTTATGAACATCATCAAATGGATATAACATCACAATATATAGGGTATGCTCCAAGCCCTAAAGGGATATGCTCCATATGCCAAAAGAATATTTCATGCCTCTAAGTCATCCTTCATGAAAAGCTTTGCACTTAACATTCCTCTCCTCAAAGCTTGGAATGGATGAGAAGCAACAATGAAACATCTGAAAACTCTAATAGTCCCCCTTGATGTCACGTCAGTCTTCAAAATAATACATGAAGAAAATTCGATATAAGCATGAAAATCCAAAAGTGTCATGTAATGTATCAAAATCGTGATTCTCAATGAGGTCCGATCAAGTTTATCAAAGTTGAACCAATAAGGCGTGTAGTCAATCACAACAAATAAAGTCCAAATTAAGCTCATCGGGACACAAATAATACTAAACTTGGAGAAAAATATATAAACTTTCTCAAGCATCACTAAAAATTATTATTTTAAAGGGAAGATGGCATAATTACCCTAAGAAGTTAGGGTTGGTCTATTTAGTCCTTAAAGTATTTTCGTTGCTTTATGAGGGCATAAACTCATTTTTGTTAGGTATATAGGGTCCCTCTGGAAGAATTGAAGGGGTAAACTGGTTTCCCCTTACCACATAAGCATTTCTTATGACCCTACTTTCCTTGTCAGGTATGAAATAAATAGTCTTCATTCGTTCTTTAAATACCCAAAAATTGGAGCTTACAATTGAATTTATTGACTTTCATTTTGGTAATGGATCTACAAGTTCAATCATCACCATACACGGTGTAACACCCGGTTTCAGTTACGCATTTAAATTCAACCAAACTTCATATTTTACCTTTGGACTCGGCGAGTTGGTGGCCTAACTCGTTGAGTAGGATCGACTCTGGGTCGGGGGACTAAGTGACCTACTCAACGAGTCGGAAGACCAACTCGGCGAGTAGGAGTTGTCTAAGTGAAACCCTAAATTGGAGGATTTGTACCCTATTTAAACGCCTTATGGGGGTTCCACCCTAGCCTCCATCACCTTTAAACCCTGTCCTCAAAACTCTAATCGACCTGTGAGTGTTCTTGAGCAATTGGTGCATTTCCTTGTGATTTGCAGTTAGAAGAAGGAAAGGAAAGCTTGGTGAATCAAGAAGTAGGTCAGTGGATCCCGAGTTTGGTTGCATTTCCAATTTAGTTGAGGCAAATAGCTCCTATCTTGACCTCTTATGTGTTAGATCTACTTTGGGAATTGAATATTGACATCTTTGGGGGCATTTCCAAGCCATTCGGATTTTAGAGTGTAATGTAAAGGAAAAGCTTCAGATCTGGAACCCTGGAGGGTCCTCATGGCATAAAGGTGCCATCTTTATGGCCATAAGAACCCCATGCATGTAATAAACCCTATTTTTGGTCCTTTGAGCTTAAATGTCCCATGCATGGACGTAAAGTTCATAACTTTACATGTTATATCGACCTTATGAGCCCATATCTACCTTTAGGATGAGATTAGCACAACAGAAATCGAGTTATGGACTTGGACATTAGTCGACTCGACAAGTCGTTCATGGGACTCGGCGAGTCAGGGTTTGGTTCCCCAACCTTCTTTTGATTCGAAGAGATCCAGTTGAGTCTAGAAGGGAGCTAGTTGAGTCCATGAAGGGGACTCAACAAAATAGACGTAGTTATGGACCTGGAAACCATGGGACTCGACGAGTCCAAGGCAATCTCCGAACCCATGAAGACGGACTCGATGAGTTGTTCATATAACTCGGCGAGTCACTGACTAGTCACACTCATATGATGAAGATGAAGTCGACGAGTTCAAGGATGAACTCGGCGAGTCAGTTGAAGATTGCCCTGTGTTGATTGAAGGAGATCTCATCGAGTTCTTGCTAGAATCGATGAGTAGAGTCGGGGTTGGGGTAGATGAAAGAATAGGGACTCGACTAGTTGGTGGACGAACTCAGCGAGTCGAGTCAACTAGATGAGATTAGCACAACAGAAATCGAGTTATGGACTTAGACATTAGTCAACTCGAAGAGTCGTTCATGGGACTCGGCAAGTCGGGGTTTGGTTCCCCAACCTTTTTTTGATTCGAAGAGATCCAATTAAGTCTAGAAGGGAGCTAGTCGAGTCCAGGAAGGGGACTCAACAAAATAGATGTAATTATGGACGTGGAAACCATGGGACTCAACGAGTGTATGAACACACTCGGCGAGTCCAAGGCAATCTCCCAACCCATGAAGACGGACTCGACGAGTTGTTCATACAACTCGGCAAGTCACAGACTAGTCACACTCATATGATGAAGATGAACTCGACGAGTTCAAGGATGAACTCGATGAGTCAATTGAAGATTGTCCCGATGTTGATTGAAGGAGATCTCATCGAGTTCTTGCTAGACTCGATGAGTAGAGTCGGGGTTGGGGCAAATGAAAGAATAGGGACGCGACGAGTTGGTGGACCAACTCGGCGAGTCGAGTCAACCGGATGTTGACTTTGACTAGGATGTTGAATTTAGCCAGGGGTAAAATGGTCATCTTACCCTAAGAGTAGTTATCAGTTTTTGACTCCGTATCTTTATGGAAATTTAGAGACTCGCTGGAGCAGCAGATAGAGATTCCTCAACTAGATTTTCAGCAGTCAGTCACACGAGGTGAATTTTCCTCCAGTAGGAATGGGTCTAAGGCACCAATGTCGGCCCGTTTATGTAGTTACAGTATGTCGGGGTAAGCCCAATGTAGTTATATGTTTAGTTTATTCTGAACTTCGGTCCGATGTCGAGGTGGTCCCGAGAAGTAGTTTTGTATGCTTAATGTACTTATGATTCATGCATGTTTATGTTATGTGTTATGTGTTCCGGACGTCGTTCTGATGTCGGGCAAGCCCGATGCAGTTTATGTGAGTATGTTATATGTTTGAGTTTATACTATGATTCAGTTTATTTGGGACTTTGGTCCGATTCTGGACAGGGCCCGATGCAGTGGGCGGGGTCCAAGTTATTCCGGACTCAGTCCGATGTCGGGCGGGGCCCAATGCAGTGGGCGGGGACCAAGTTATTCCGGACTTTGGTCCGATGCCGGGCGGGGCCCGGTATTTATTGTATGTGCTTTCTATGGTATGTGGTAGTTTGGGGGAACTCACTAAGCTTCGTGTTTACAATTTCAGTTTTGGTTTCAGGTACTTCAGCTAGCAAAGGGAAGGCTCCGAGCTGATGGCATGGCACACACCACAATCTTTCTTAGCCTGGGAGTCTACTTTGATATTTTGTTTGAGATTGTGATATGTTGATAGTTTTATGAGATTTTAGAGATACATTTTTTATGATTTTATATTATTGCGATGTTATTATGTTTATTAAATGATTTTAAAAACGGAATTTTTGGCTTGTATTTTTGGGATGTTTCAAGTTGGTATCGGAGCCTTGGTTTGAGGGATTCGGACACACTTCCGGGTGTGTTAGAACTCAAACTAAGGAATTGGTATAAAAATTTTCAAAAAGAAAATCAATTTTGTAAAAAGGAGTTTTGAGAAGGGAAAAAGAGTTTTAGAAAAAGCAAAAAGAACTTTTAGAAATAAAAGAACTTTGAAAAGAGTAAAGGGTGTGGTGCATGCAATCAGCCGAGCTCAAGTAAGTACTCTTAAATTACCCATACAAGTTTATGATATGTTATGATTTTCAGCTTTAATATAACAACATGCTAGATTAGGGCTAAGGTATGACAACCCAAAATTTCTATTTGTACAACCCCTACAGTCAAGCACTTCAATAAAAAGTCAAACCCACTTCTGCTAACTTTTAGCATAGTTTAGAGTCTATTTGAGCATTCTGAGCTTACTTCTTCAAAAGGATAAATGAAAGGAAGTACCTTCTAGGGTTTATGG